ACATGTGTTACGTATGCCTAGCCACCGACTGCCTCGACGAGCTATGTTTTGTGGTGTAGGAGTAGGTTGGAAGAAAGTTAGGGGCGGCCAAACCAAAACATGGCATAAATCCATGAAGTCATTGACAAGCGGACTGAGTAGTGTTAGTAGATGTAGGCTACCTGGTTGGTGAGACGAAAGTCACCAACGGTTAGATACCTTGAACGACATGGCTCAGAATCGTTTGCACTGGCGCAGGTGCATCCACTCTTTGTGTTCTCTCAAATTGTAACCTTCTGAATACCTCAATATCGAAAGATAATTCATATTATCCAAATTGTGTGTAAACCAAACAGGTAGAGTGAATTCGAACATGTAATTTCAATTTTGTTCAACTGAATTTTTAATTTGGAATCTCTCTCTTTTAAAATTATTCTATAATGTTTATTTCACCCATAACATTGTAAAAAAAAAATCTTTATACTTCGCTTAACCACTTGCTATTAATTTAAATTCGACATTTCATTCGGTGTATTGAAAAAAATAACCCTCATACAAAATATTAATTGTGCGTAGCTGACCTCAATTGTTTTTTAAAGTATATATCTGTGTGTTTGTGTGCGCGCGCGCATGTGTACATACTCGCTTAATTATCCTATAGATATATTGAATACTACTACTAATCTGCTTTACTTTCTTTGCGCGCTTACACAAACAAACATGCATGGATTATATTTTCCTGTTGGGCTGCTTATTCAATAAAATGTATTGTGAGAAAAAACAATATATATATATATGTGCATTACATTTTGATTATTTTATGCATTGCACATTTGCAATTTTTTAAGGACATGTTGTTGCCTTGCTTTTTTTTTATTGAAAAAACAAATCATTCAATATTGATTGCAGGTTATTATATTCTTCAATGTTTTGCTGTAATTCTTTTTTTTTTAAAAAAAAAATAATAAAATTTTAATTGCCATACAATTCCATGGAGTAGTTGTGCATGTTCTATTTATTCAATTACGGCGGATTGTATGGTGTTCTGCTTTTTCTGTGTGTGTACGTTTGTATGTGCATGTGCCTTGTGTAATCTGTATGTGTACATTACCTCATACTTACCTAACTAAACTTTTTCTTTGTGTGTGAACTTTTTCTTTCTTTTTTAAAAGAACAACAAAGTGTGTGTGTGTTGTTGAATAATTTTATTTCTATTATCTGTGACATGTTTATTCAGTAGTCTTTCGTTTTTTTTTTCGCTTCAAGCTGTCGATTAAAGCAATGTACACATATGAATATTGACTCAAGTTTTTCTCTCACTCACTAAAGAGGAAACAAAGGTGAATGTAGGATAGATAGGCAGTACAGATGTATCACTGCTTCTAATTCTAAACCATCTTATTTAGGCATAGAAAATGTGGGATTACGCCAATTATTCAGTGTTGAGGCTAGATTTTGGGTATTAGAAAAAAATGCAAAAACATTTGACAAGGTTGTGAATATCCAACGACTGAGGTAGCTAGGACATATATACATGCTCAACCGCCACCTACTTCGACATGTGGTGTTGGTTGGAGTAGGAAGGAAGTTGGGAATGGCTAAACCGACACGTATTCTCAGTCTATGGAGTCATTGACTATATGGTTGAATACAAGCGTTCATCGTTACTGATGGTTGGAGACTTTCTGAGACATTAGTTAGAACCAACCACTGTGATGCAAATACATTCATTGTGTATCTTCCCATCAATCTTGGTTTCTCTGATACTACTTTAACTAGTATGGTATTCATCTTGGTAATTTCATCTCAATGTCCCGACGCTATGCGTTATATCCCCTTCTAATACACCTTAGCATCAAATTTTATGTTAAATATAACTGACTCATCAACATTATGCAAGTGAAGTTTGTTAACAATTACTTGTGATCTCATCATCATGGCCTCTGATTTTAATTGTAATGTTTGGAAGTTGTAAGTCATTTGCAACGTAGAACTTCGTACGTATGTACATAAGTTCATGTTGCCATACCACATTAGCACAGAGACGCAAATGTCAAGTCAAATCCCATAGTGATAAAGATGGTAGAGGTATTAATGGTAATGAAGAAGAATAGGGTTTGAAGATATTATTCAAGAAGTATAATTCAGTGAGACTGCTGTCACACCCCTCTGCAGTCAGCAGTACGACTTCGCCCTCAGACCTTGGGTAGCTGCTTTTAGTCTCATCGTTCTCCAATTGACCTGCCTGGCATGGTAGGACCTTCAGGAACATATGTTCCAGCCCGACCACCGCGTCAAGGTAGCAGCTTCGGTCGGGTTGGAAGTTGTAAGGCGAACTGCTACATCTTCTGATAGACAATTCACATGTATTACAAATCGGTGATATTGGTCATCATTAAAACATCATAGTTCATCACATTACTAGGAAAAAAATCAGACTGTCAAACCTGACACTGATATAAACGAGCCTTGAAATAGCTATTTACATTCGTAAACATTCATAAAACAAAATTCCATCCTAAACATCTATATTTAACATCTAAACATTCTACCTATTCTATAAATATCACCAAATAAAACTATCACATCCGTATACTTTCATAACAATAAATGTGTTTTCAGATTAAGCAATAATTTCCTTGTGTGAATATTTCCAATCATCTATCTGATATATATATATTTATATTTTTAGTACCATTCAACTCCATCATTTACCACTTCTCATTCTCTAATCTACAAACTTTTTATTCATCTGCAACTTAATGAGTTTTCATTTATTATCTATAATTCAAGCTGTTCAACATAAATTCACTATCCTATAATTAGTCTATGCAAAACTTTTCAAACTTCATTAATCTTACAACAATTGAGTTTCACTAATGTATTTTAGCTCATTTTACTACGTCTAATGTTTACAAATTGTTGTTGAATCATTCATTCATTGTTGATTTGAGTGGTATTGACAAAAAAATAATGTTTTCATTCAATTCTCATTCATTCATCACAATGTTCATAGTATTTTAATTTAAAATGTTGTTCTGTCCAGTATAGTGTATCATGTTAAACAGTAAAATATGAGTTTTCTGTTATTGTTGAATTTTAATCAATTAAAGGGTTGTGAAGATTGTCAAGTGACTTTGAAATCATAAGGTGATCAATGATAGACCATTATTACAAAACCTGCAAGCATTGGATGGCCATTTTGTCCTAGTATGGGACTTATCGGCAGGAATCGAACCCAGGACCTTCGGTCTTGCACTCAAACGCTTAAAAAGAATTACATGTAAACTTATAAATAATAAGCAATGATGTATTAAACTCTCTCAATGTTACGGTAGTTCACATTATTCAACTATGTTCGAGTTTGACAGAGATAATTTATAATGTCACGGTAATTTCTTAATATTCTATAATTTGTTTGCGTCTTCATATTCTACTGCATTCAAGAGAAGTATTCTTTTTTTGTATGAACAAACACAGAATTCTAATAATCTTTCTAAAAAATATGTTTTAATTTATTTACTAAATGTTTTGCCTCAGTTTATTGCTGGAACTCTCTGTTTTCTCATCCAAGTTTAGGGTTAGGAAGGAACATATTTTGTGAAAACAAACCTTTATACAGAAAATCAGATTGGAATGAAATTGTTGTTTACCTATTTTACATTATAGGGTTGTGGAGATTTATGAGTTTTGTTGAAATCATGAATTAGTATAGAGGTTAAGAAGCGTTCGCCCACGAGACCGAAGGTCCTGGATTCGATCCCTATAGGGGTGGGGGTCGTGGGTGCCCACTGCCGATGAGTCCCATACTAGGACTAAATGGCCGTTGAGTGCTTCCAGGCTTCTAATCATGTTTTAATACATTTTAATAATTTGATTATAAAACGCTTGGATTCTCTTTGTTTTTAAATATTCTCCTGTTTGCAAGCTGTCGTTTAGCGCATAGACTATTTTTTTATATTTCGTTCTCTCTTTAAGTTTTTGTCAAATAATGACGGAGTTGTTACTCAGTTTCCTTCTCACTTAAAGCTTAATTATGCACGTATTGCAACTGTTTGTTTGATATTTTGTGGTCAGGAATTTACTATACTACCTGATCAATAACTTGTCTGCTCACCATGCTCTCTTATCGAGTTGACTACTGAGCACGAAGGAGAAACAGTTGCAATGATACCAGTTGGCATTAAGATTATCTTGGTCACAGTGTGGTGCGAGCTACTTATAAGTAGTATATGACGTGAGTGTCAACCAAATGTCTGGCAGCAGAAGATGGGAGAAGATCAAGAAAGGAAGAGTTCGAAAACAATGGAATTTGTATGAAACGCATGAACAGTGACAATGGATTGATGTTTTGCAACAGGAACAGTCCAGTTCGATATGATGAACTGTTATGTTGCAAATGAACGATTTACGATATGGTGTTCCGATTTTACTGAGTAACTCTGTGATTTTCGTTAAATACAATTCGGTTGCCCTCACCGGTGTTCTCCTTCACTACAACAGTACCAAGGTTAATAATCATTCTTCGCCGAAACATGTTGTTATTCAAAATTATAGGAGTTTAGTTTATGGGAAATTATAGTCTGGATTTTGATTGGTGATTCTTATCAAGTGACATCGATTTTAATCACCAGCATAATAGTTTACCGACTGTCATTCTTTGAGTACTGCTCTACTCTGTTACTCATATATATATATATATCACTTAAATGGATCGCTTACCTATCTATTGATTACTAATCTTAGCATAGATTCACATTATGCTTTTAACTTACCATATCGATGAATAAAGCGAAATTAACGCCTTACTGTTTAATTCGATAATCTCACACACAAAAATACATCACTTTCAATTTAACTCGCTTCCGTGATGTAGTAGATAGAGCAAGATTTTCGTCAAGATGCTGAAGTAAAAAGCGAGAAAAGAAAGGGGCACAGAAATATGTCCAGTGGGATTACTAGAAACGTTTTTTTTTTAACTTATCGAATTTTTATCGTAAGTTAGCATATTAAATTGCATTGATTTTTTCAATAATACATATAGGATAGTTTGTTTTTTTCTGCCTTCGATTCACAGTGTTAACATACGATGAAGGCAATCATGATGAAGTGGATGCTAGTGCTGCATTAGCTGAACTGGAGAAAATGCCTCATATCGGTGTCACTAAAGCCGGACAAACTCGTGGTATCTTAGATAAAATCGATGGAATACGAACAATGACTGATAGTGTTGATGAAAATACTTTAAACTCTACTCAACGTAGTGATAGTAAGTGATTAAGCTTAAAATGGAATGTTTTTTTTTATAATAATTTTCTTCCATTGAGTTACTTATCTCTGCGAAATTTACCAGAAATTGTTGATTTTTGCTTACTTTCGCCTGTTACCCCCAGTGGAGCATATAGGCCGCCAACCAGTATTCTCCAACCTACTCTGTCCTGGTTTTCCCTTTCTACTTCTGTCCATTCTCATGTCTGTCTCCATTTCTCGGTGTAATGTGTTTCTCGGCTTTGAGGAGTCCAAATGAAGGCTTGTCTTGTAACGCTGTTGGGTGCTTTCCTCAATGTGTGTCCTATCCACTTACAGCGCTTCTTCCTCAGCTGGAATCTGGTTTGTTCCCTCCCACATTAGGTTGTTACTGATAGTTTTCTGGCACAGCTAATCTGAAGTATTTTGCGTAGACAGCTGTTAATGAACACTTGAATCTTCTGGATAATGGCTCTCGTAGTTTTCCAAGCACAGTAGAACTGTCTTGACATTAGTATTGAGAATGCCGTCGTTGGTTTCTATGTTAGCTTTTATTTGTTTACGTATAAAATGACTATGGAGTAGTAGTTTTATACCATTGTCGATATCAGGGTTTTTGACAGTGTATATTCACATAAATAGACCATAGATTGTGGGCTGACTCACTAGATGAGATGTGCCTTTTATGGAATTAATATTAGCTGGAATGGTCAAAGGCTATCGCATGTCATTATCTAGCCATAAAAAAGACGTCCAAACGATTCGACTCACGAAAACAAGTATTTCATTCGATAAAATTATTATGCACTAATATTTATGTGATTAATTTCTGTGGTGAATTCATTTTTAATGTTCACATAATATTATAAACTAACCACTCTTTATGTTTTTTTGCTTTTATCTGGGCCACCGACAAAATACTATTTCTTTTGGTCGGATTATTTGTGATCGATATGTCAAGAGTATTTCTAGTTTTGATGTCAAAATGTTTGAAATCAGTTAATCACTGACAAATTGATTTTTCGTTTCACAATCTCTTGTCATTACTTACTGGGTCGATACAAACTTTCATAACTTAACAAAACTGTTGTTCATACATTGTGATTCTTGTTGCATTCCGGTTGTACATTCTTCTATTGATTACTCACTGTGGTTGTAAACATCTGTGTACTTCTAATTCTAGTAACCATTCAAACCACCAAACGAAATTTCTCACTATCATGATAATCCTCGTGTATTTTGTAGGTTAAACTAAACTACCGGCCATTAGAGCAAGTTCATTTTTACACATTCACATGTGTTTTCATCCAGTCATGTTGCATATGACTGTGTTGAATGATTCAGCCGTTAATGTGTATCAAACTTATGAAACAAGTTATCCATCTTGGAGAATAACTGAGTGTTCTTTTATATTTGTCATTCGAGCTCTCCGTATGGAAGTTGGACTGATTTCAGTGTAAATAAAATGTCCCTCTAAATTTTCTGAATGGGCAATTCAGTATTTAATAGTGGAAGGAACCTGTCGATTTAAAAATTCTCTGAACTTCATCATCATTCATGACATTTCTTATCTAATTCATCTATAGGACTGAATCAGGTTTACTGGTTAATCACAAGAAAGGTCTTTAGTGGCTGCGATCCGAGCCCATTGTAGACGAATTACTGAATATGCGATAAAATAAATCCTCCCTTCCATTTCTGTATATCATAATTAGACGAAGCTCGTTTGTCCGAGGGTCAGATACAATTTTTCGGATGAATTTATTTCATTTATTCATTTAAGAAGACATACAAGAATGATATGCGTACAAGCAAAGCGAAGCGAATTGGAGAAGACACGTAAACCAGCCCTATGTGATGAGGTATGATTAAGTATCAGTCAGTCAGTCAGATGCAACGTAGAACTTCGTACGTAAGTACATCAGTTCATGTTTCCATACCACATCAGCACAGAGATATAATAGTCAATTCAAATCCAATAGTAGAAGAGGTAGTAAAGATATTAGAAGTAGTTGGAGAGGTTAGGATTAGAAGATATTATTCAAGAAGTATGATTAAATTAGAAAGTCAAAACTAGAGATGTTGAAGAATCCAGAAGATTAGGATTTGAGAGAACACAGAATGAATGCACCGGCGCCATTGCAAACGGTTTTGAGCCATGTCATTCGGGGTATCTAACCATCGATTATTATCATCTCGCGGACCCCAACCAGGTAGTCGACAACTACTGACATGGCTCAGTCCACTTGTCAATGACTTCATGGATTTCTGCCATGTTTTGGTTTGGCCGCCCTTAGCTTTCTTCCAACCTATTCCTACACTACAACACATAGCTCGTCGAAGCAGTCGGTGGTTAGGCATACGCAGCACATGTCCCAACCAAATCAACTGATGAAGTTTCAATACTTCATCTATTGATCTGCCATTCTTACATAGCACCCGTTTCCTAATAACAGCGTTGCTCACTCAGGTGTCCCAGGATATACGAGCAATGCTTCGAAGTCACCTATGATCGAAAACCAGTAACGTACGAATATCTTCTACTCTCACTGGCCATGTTCCACACCCATAAAGTGTGACGGAGCGAACCACTGTGCAGTACACTCGTCCTTTAGCCAGCAAACGGATATCTCGCCTACGCCATAAGTGACGCAGGTTGGCAAAAGCCAATCGAGCCTTCTGTATCCGAGTTGAGATTTCGTCAGTCACCAGGCCATTGGCACTGATGAGACTCCCCAGATAACTGAAGCGGTCTACACACTCGACTACTTCACTCACTATCACTAGTTCAGGTGCCGATGAAACCCAATCTTGAAGCAACATTTTGCATTTCGAAGGGAAAACCGCATCCCGAACATGCTCGCACTCCTGCTTAGGGTGGTCAGAAGACTCTGCATTTTGTCAGCGTCTTCACCAAGTAGGACAATGTCATCGGCATATTCTAAGTCAATAAGCGAGCCACCTGGTAATAGGACTTCTCCTGAAAATTCAGACGAGGATAAGGTTATTTCTAGGAGTATGTCTATGATGAAACTAAACAAGAATGGAGAAAGTGGACGTTCCTGACTGACATCACTTGAAGTAATCAATTTTGATGACAGTTCGCCATAAGCTCTCACTCAACCAGTGGTGTTCGAGTAGAGTGCTTGTATAAGGTTAATGTACTTCTTTGGTACACCTTTCAATGACAGACACTGCCACAGAACCTCACGATCCACTGAGTCGAATGCCGCTTTTAGGTCCAGGAAAACAACTATTGTAGGACGCCTAAATGTGTGTCTGTGTTGCAGGACCTGTCGTAGTGTGAAGATGTGGTCTATGCAACCACGTCCAGATCGAAAACCAGCCTGGTATTCTCTAGTCTGCTCTTCACGAGGTTTCGTTAATGGCCGAAATAGTCTCACTCACAATTGGGTTCCTAATACCAGTTTCCTTGATGAGTCTAGATAATTGCGTACTGTTGCCAATCGCCGCTGCCTTTTCCTTATCTCCCGCTTTCTCCACCCACCACTGTTCTCGATCATTGCGTAGGCTTTTTGCTTAACTCTCTTTCTAGTTGCTCTTGAAATATATTCCTAGCTTTATTATAATTAAGTAGAACCATAAGAGGCTTCCTTACGGTGTCTTTCCTACGTCCAGTAAGCCTCAAACAAATACGAGCTCGCACTAGGGCATGACCTGAATCTAAACATGTGCCCCACAACGAGCGGCAGACCTCTATCGAACCTCTCCGGTGGCTGATGGCAATGTGACTTAGTTGGGTCCAACGTTGAGAGGACTTTAAGGGTCGTTAGGTCAAAAGGTGCTTTTCCTTATGCCTAAAGTTAGTGTTTGCTAGAAATAGGCGGTTATCTGAGCATAGTTAAAACAGACGGTCGCCATTGTCTGTTCTCTGAGCCGCGACACCATAATATCCACCTAGGTGTCTTTGATTTTCACCTAGTCTACCTACCTGAGCATTAAAGTCACCAGCCATTATTACTATATGAGAGTGCCTAACATTTTGGAGGAGGTCCGAAAGCTTTCTGTAGAACTCGTTTCTCACCTGATCTGAACTGCAGTCAGTGGGGGCATAGGCAAATACGAACAATGCACATGCATACTCGAATACAATCACCTTAGATGTAAGTGAATAATAGACAAGGTTGAAACACGTGTAAATAATAACTCGACATGATTGGATTAGTTAACTTATTCGTAGGCTAAGTCAAGCCCTGTTCACTCAACATAAAAGTACACTCGACATGTTCACCCTCTTTTTATTCTGTCATAAGAGATGTGAGAATTGTAGTTAAAATGACTGCATACTCTGTAGTCTCTCAATATTTATTATACCGTGAATTTCAGAGTACTATCAATGGTAGTATTCCTGTGTCAACCGATCAAAACCAAAGTGAGTTGTTATTCGTGTGTACGTGAAACGCGACAAATTGTGTGTTTTCTGTGAAAATTAGCTATTTCATTTATTTAGTTGATTGTTTTACAACAAAATTAAGTCACATTGATTTACAACTAATTACACAACTTCAATACTGTTTTTGATAGTTTATGAGATATTTCTCCTATTTCTATTCATTCTCATTTGTTTTTTCGGCAGCATATTTTTATTTGATAAATATTCGTTTCTCATGTATTCGCTAGTTGTTATAATGTCCGAGGAGGAGAAAGCTCAAATTTTATCATCGGATGCTTTTCTACGGTTTTTTGAACGTTCTTCACGTATAATTGAACGAGCTATTTGTTATTCAGATGAAGGTATCTTTTTGGATTATTCCGGTGAAGATCGTGAAACTGAAGAGTAAGTTTTTTTTAAATCATGAATTATGTTGTTAATGTTTGAACAAAGTTGTAATTTATAAATACAATTCAGTCATACAAGTATGCCTATTGATCGTGTTTAGGTGTAGAGTTTTTCTACCAGATTCCTCATACATAAAATCAAACTTAGTCCATCTTATTTTATATCCTCAATTATATACTGTCACAAAAAGAATATTTTACTATTGACATGGCTCTAATTAAACAGACACTACTTTCTTGGACTAACGCTATGTTTACTTGAAGAATATATGTCTCTATGCTGTAGTGTTATAATGTGCAGTATCCGGTAGCTGATACGAACACTCACTTCCTATAAACAAACTCAGGTACTCTTGAAAAAAAGCCTTGGGTTTGTAAAAAGAAATTTATCTAATTAACTAAATCAAGAAACAACTGTACTCTGTTGATATTTTTGACTGGAATTTGATTAGTTTTGTTTGGTATATGGGTATTCTGTGCTGATTGATTAAGTATATCTATTTGGAGATACGTCAATAGTAGTGTATTTAGGGAACATATAGTTTACTAACAGAATGTGTACACTTTATCTTCAGACTTTAAGTCGCCAAACAAGCAGATTATTGGTTGTCTTCTTTCATATATCTTTTGGTCTTCAAAGCACTTTGATTGCGTCATGCATTCGGATCTGACACTATTCTTTCCAGTATTAACTTCTAGACGACACTCCGCCGCATACTACTTATCAGCCATGTTTCAGATAGTATCCGCTACACTGATTTCGAGTCCTGGAGTAAACATTGACTCTGCAATGCATACACATGCAGCTGACGAGTCCCAAGTAAGACGAAACGCGCGCCATGGATCCCACTACTGACCACATTCCATCTATTCTATATCAACTGTACACTGACCTATATGTTTTCTGCCCTTAGGAATTCAATCCACGGAGAAAGTTTTATCTTAAAGATTCTCAGAAGTTTGTTATCATTTTTCATCAGAATAGTTTGACATGGATATATAGTAGTGTGGACCAACTTTTGATTGATTAGTAACCTACAATATAACACGTTTATTATTATCTTGGTTCCGAACTCAATTACACCCTAATATTAGTTTAGGATGAAGCTGCAGAAATTAGAATAATTTTAACAAATGCTGTTTACAGGTTCGTAGCTTATTGTGTTGTTACTTCTACCACAAATTGGATACTTCAATTGATTACATCAGGAAAGGAGTCATTCAGTGATTGCAAACTTCTTCAAGTGGTATAACTCAAAATCGTTCAAAATAGCTCTGATGAATTCACTCATTATTTCCCGCTTAATTTTGCTCTTCAGTATCCCTTCATATATGTATAACCTTTTCCACTGTGTACTACATTATTTCAATCTCAATTGTTATTTTCATCTTGTGCTAATCTGGTCTGATAACTTAAGCCAACGCATATTTTGTCCGGCTCTACATTGTTGATACTCTTATGTATGTACTGCCTTTTTACAAAATACTATTTTAGATCTGATGAATTGTTAACTGTATTGAATGAATTTTTCGATGAACGATGGTCGAAACATCGTACAATTACCGGTTTAGATTGGTCAACTATATTTCCAGAATTACTACTCACCGCATATCATATGAATGAAGAAGCTGTACATGAACCTGAAGGTGTTTGTTTAATGTGGAATATGAAATATCCAAAGAAATTAACACCGGAATTTATATTTCATTGTCAATCCCCGGTTACATCGGCTAGTTTATCACGTTTTCATCCGAATATTGTAGTTGGTGGTACGTATTCTGGACAAATTGTTTTATGGGATAGTCGGTAGGTTAGCCATATTTATATATATATATAACTTAAAGATATTCTGATTTCATAAAGCTATCTTAAATTCATATAGAGATGCCTGAATTTTAACTTTGAATCATGTTCTATCTACTTCAGTTTAAGATAGCATGTACAGTATCGCACCAGCCGTCACACTTAGACGGAAACTTTTGATTCCAGATACATAAATCATCTGTGTTTGGTAATGGTTACAATCCGCCTTAGATTGATTCTAGCTTTATGTGTTCAGGTTTAAGCGGTTGATCATGTTGACGTTTAAGTAATATTCACATTCATTCGCATGGTTATAAATATACCCTATAAGACAGTTAGTTTACATCAGTCTTCAGGAGAACCATACACTACCTAGGCTTCTCATACTATGATCCAATTAGCACTGATCAATCTTGTGGTGCAACTACGCAGGTGCTAAGATCTTTACATGCATCGTACTTACTCGTCCCTTATATCCTTACTGAATTATGGACTATAGCCTAGATTATACTACATATTTGAATTTGGATATATTGATATTACTCTTCTGTTTATACTTATATTTGATGCATTTTTAATTAGGTCGATGACTTAGTGGCCAAAGGGTTCGATTTTCAACTGCCTTAGTCACAGGTTCAAATCACTTTCTTGTCCACTTCTCTCTGATCGGCTGGATAGGATCACTAGCACTCACGCATAAAAGCTCAACGCAAGGTCGAGTACACCAGTCAGTACTTGATGAACAATTTACATTGTCATAATTATAAATGATATTTTCTCTCTTTTGAATCATAGTGTTAATAAACGAACACCAGTTCAACGCAGTCCACTAACATCATGGGCTCATACGCATCCAGTATTTGCAATCACATTGATTGGTACTCAGAATGCTCACAATATCATTAGTTTAGGATCGGATGGTTCATTATGTGCATGGAGTTTGGAAATGTTAGCACAACCAAGAGAGAAAAGTAAAGTTTGTGAAATGTCTTCCGGTGGTCTGTTTGATCTTTATCCTACATGTATGTCGTTTTTTGCTAATGATGTGAATAATTATGCTGTTGGTGCGGAAAATGGTAATGCGTATTGTGGACAACGGCATAGCAGGTAATAATGAATTATTATAATAACAATAATTATCTATCTATTTGCTTCATTTTAATTTAATAAGTAACCTTATTCAGCCTACATCATTATAAGTAGATGTTTAAATTATCCTGTTTTTAATATTCATTACTGAATTTCTGCATCCATCACTGCTAATCACAATCCATCTATCCTAAATAACTTATCAACAATGATTATTATACGTGCTAAAAAAAATCTTGGAAGCTATTTATACTCAAAACTCACTGGATAACATGTTGGCCGTCGAGGCGAGAAATAGTATGTCCGGATCCCGATGTAAACACCAACACTCAGGTGATAAATAACGAATAGAATGTGACACTCGTCTTAAATCCCACTACTAACGACAATCCATCGCATATAAACCAATCAGGTCCATAGAAAATCGATGGGACATTGCTGGCGCACTGGAATCCAGGACGTGCGTTTTGTCCTATTTTTCACTTGCAGGCTGGCTGTATCTGCATCTCAGAGTCCATGTTCCCTTCGGGACTCGAACCCAGTACTGTTCGCTTCAAACGCTACCAAGTTCAGATAAGCATTCGTATGTGCAAGAGGGATGAGAATCAGTTCACTCACTTTGAAATGTTTTAAATTATTCGATTTTATTGATATTTTGATTGAGATTTGATCGGTCTTTGTTGGCATATGGGCATCGTGTGCAGATTGCCTCGATATATAGCCTTTATGATACAAGTTTACTTAGAATAGGATCGAATGTGGCTAACTATCTATTCATTTGCATTAAGTTTTTTTTATAATCAATAATATTATACAATATGTAAACAATACCAATAACTAGCTATCATACAATCATTTAAGGCGAATATCATGAATTCATTTTATTTCGGTTCGATTCCCAACTAGCCGTGCGCAACCTGTAATATTTACAAATCAACAATTTCAAAATTGATTGACATTTGTATGCATGAAAGAGTTAAGTCATAAAGTTACTACTGCATAATCATCATAGATCAGTATAATAAAGCAAAGATTTTTTTAGAATCAATAATATTACACAATATGTAAACAATACCAATAACTAGCTATTATCCAATCATTTAAGGCGAATATCATGAATTTATTTTATTTCGTTTGATTCTCAATTGGCCGCTCGTAACCTGTAATACATAAAAATCAACATTTTCAAAATTGATTGACATTTGTATGCATGAAAGAGTTTAGTCATAAAGTTACTACTGCATAATCATCATAGATCAGTATAATAAAGCAAAGATTTTAACTAACATTTCTTTACTACTCTTTCAAATGATGTTGTTGATTTTTTTCGATCAATGATTGCTTGACATTGATTTGAATAAAAGCTATGTATATATTCAAGTATAAAGTAATTTTTATTTTCGATGAAGCGGAGCACCAGCTCTCTGTTGAATGTATGACGACAGTGTGAGCACAGAGATGTACTTGTCAATTCAAATCCAATAGTAGAAGAGGTAGTAAAGGTATTAGAAGTAATCGGAGAGGTTAGGATTAGAAGATATTATTCAGGAAGTATGATTAAATGAGAAAAGTTTAGAAAGTCAAAACTAGAGCTGTTGAAGAACCCAGAAGATTAGGATTTGAGAGAACACAAAGAATAAATGCACCGGCGCCATTGTGAACGATTTTGAGCCATGTTATTCAAGGTCTCTAACCATTGGTGACATTCGTCTCACGGACCCCAACCAGGTAATCGACAATTACCGACATGGTTAAGTCCACTCGTCAATGACTTCATGGATTTCTGCCATGTTTTGGTTTGGCCGCCCCTAGCTTTCCTCCAACCTATTCCTACACTACAAAACAAAGCTCTTCGAGGCAGTCGGTGGTTAGGCATACGCAGCACATGTCCCAACCACCTCAACTGATGAAGTTTCATTACTTCATCTTTTGATCTGCCATTCTTACATAACACCCGTTTCCTAATAACAGCGTTGCTCACTCGGGTGTCCCACGATATACGAGCAATGCTTCGAAGACACCTATTATCGAAAACCAGTAACCTACGAATATCTTCTACTCTCACTGTCCATATTTCACAGCCATAAAGTAAGACGCAGCGACTTACTGCGCAGTACACTCGTCCTTTAGTCAGCAAACGGATATCTCGCCTACGCCATAAGTGACGCAGGTTGGCAAAAGACAATCGAGCTTTCTGTATCCGTGCTGAGATTTCGTCACTCACCAGGCCATTGGCACTGATGAGACTCCCAAGATAAGTGAAGCGGTCTACACGTTCGACTTCTTCACTCCCTATCACTAGTTCAGGTGCCGATGTAACCCAATCTTGAAGCAACATTTTGCATTTCGAGGGGTAAAACCGCATCCCGAACATGCTTGCATTGTTGCTTAGGGTGGTCAGAAGACTGTGCACTTTGTCAGCGTCTTCACCAAGTAGGACAATGTCATCGGCATATTCTAAGTCAATAAGCGAGCCTCCCGGTGAAAGGTCTACTCCTGAAAATTCAGACGAGGATAAGGTTATTTCTAAGAGCATGTCTATGATAAAATTAAACAAGAATGGAGAGTGGACATCCCTGACGGACACCACTGGAAGTAAAGAATTCCGGTGATAGTTCGCCCTAAGCTCTCACTCGACCAGTGGTGTTCGAGTAGAGAGCTTGTATAAGGTTAATGTAATTCTTTGGTACACCTTTCAATGGCAGACATTGTCACTGAACCTCAAGTTCCACTGAGTCAAATGCCGCCTTAAGGTCCAGGAAAACAACTATTGTAGGACGACTAAATGTGTGTCTGTGTTGCAGGACCTGTCGTAGTGTGAAGACGTGGTCTATACAGCCGCGTCCAGGTCGAAAACCAGCCTGGTTTTCTCGAGTTTACTCTTCACGAGCTTTCGTTAAGCGCCGAATTATTACTGAGGCCAATATTTTAGAAACTATATTAGTTAGACTTGTTCCCCTGTGATTGTCACAAGAACACTTTTGTCCTTTCTTATAGATTGGGACAATCAGTGATTGAGACCAGTCGGATGGGATTACGTCCAGTTCCCAGATTCTACCTAAGATCTCAGTCTACCTAGATGCTAAAACTGGACCACCATCCTTAAATATATCAGGGGTCGGTCTATCATGACCCGCAACTCGCCCTCGCTTCAGATTTCCTAACGCTTTCTCAACGTCATTAAGACTAGGTGGACTTACGTCGACTTGCCATTCAGGATGACTGGAGATCGTGGGTAACCGATGGTCGCCTAACTGTCTTTCTATTTGTTCCTGAAATATATTTTTCGCCTTATTATCGTTAAGTAAAACCCTAATAGGCTTTCTTACGGTGTCTTTCCTACGCCCAGTAAGCTTCAAACAAATACGCGCTCGCACCAGGGCATGATCTGAATCCAAACATGTGCCCCACAACGAGCGACAGTCTTCTATCGAACCCCTCCCTCGGTGGCTGATGGCGATGTGATCTAGTTGCCTCCAACGTTGAGACGACTTTGGAGGTCGCCAGATCAACAGATGCTTTTCCTTATGCCTAAAGTTAGTCTTTGCTAGAAATAGGCGGTTGTCTTAGCATACTTGCAACAGACGGTCACCATTGTCTGTTCTCTGAGCCGCGACACCATAACATCCACCTAGGTGTCTTTCATTTTCACTTAGTCTACCTACTTGAGCATTAAAGTCACCAGCCATTATTACTATATCAGGGCGCCTAGCTTTTTGGAGGAGGTCCGAAAGCTTTCTGTAGAACTCATCTTTCAACACGTCTGAACTGTAGTCAGTGGGGGCATAGGCAGATATGACGAAGAGGCAACGGCCAGTGTCCCTATCTTTCCGAGTCCTTACTGTCCCGTTTAGTCGGACAGCGCACAAGCGACTATCTACTGGGATCCAGTCTAGGAGAGATTGTTCAGCTCTACGACTCAATGCTATGCGTACGCCAGCAAGACCCCTGGAAGTAGCATCAGGGCTTCCAGATACACAAAGAGTAAATCGAGCTGCTTCTTTATTTTGACAAGGTGAAATCAGATTAATTTTACTAGGATCCTGTATGCGCGTTTCCGAGACACAGCATACATCGATGGGACGAGATTCTAATGTCCTAGCTGATGATGCCTGTTGCCCTATTTGACACAAAGTCCGTACATTAAAAGCTCCAACATGTAGTCTAGAACGAGGTTTCAAGAGACCAGGAATGACGTTTCGTGAACTCGCGTCGTTTGCATTAGCGGTGCAGTCAGATAAGGGAATGTGAATAGAGTTAGTTGTGGAGAGAAGAGAGGTATATGTGGGTGTAGGAAGGATTTGATTTCGATTCTTGAGGGACCTGAAAAGGAAGATAGATTAGTGGAGACCTGGGAGCGTCACCGCAGAGTCCAAGGGACAACTGCTTGAGGCCGGTCACGCACGGCCTTTTTATGAAAGGTTTTTTGAGGATTAGCTCCGTTCTTAAAGGCCCTTAGTGGGCACCCTTACCGTCGGAGACGGAAATTCGTGAGGTAGGGTGAGATGTGACAATTTCAGGGTCGACCATTGCTAACCCTTCGTTCCTTGTGAGAAGGCAGCATCGCTGCAGATGCTGGTTGTCCGAGGGAAACACCTTACTGCTGTCACACCCCTCTGCAGTCAGCAGTACGACTTCGCCCTCAGACGTTGAGTAGCTGCTTTTAGTCTCATCGTTCTCCAATCGACCTGCCTGGCATGGTAGAACCTTCAGGAATATAAGTTCCAGA